GCTGTAGCTCAAGTGTTAGAGCGCTCGCCTTGAGCCGAAGAGCTGAGGGACAGCGCCCAGGCCCAGAGTTCAAGCCCCATGACCAACAAAAAAAAAAAAAAAATGAGGAACAAAAATGAGTGGAACAGAACAGTAAGGCAGCAACTATGTCAATAACTCCACTTCTTTTCTTGGAGGAAAAGAGAGGATCAAGGTTCCAGGACCGGCCAAGGCAGGATGAGAGAGGAGAGAAAGAGAGATGGAAAGAAAGGAAGAGGCAAGAAAGGCCCTGAGCTGGGTGTAAACAGCTCAGCCAGCTTGACCTTTTGTGAAGTGTCCTGAGTTCTCCAGGTGCTTGAGGGTTTCTCTGGGCCTCGAACCCTGAACCTCCACAATACCCTTCAGTCCAGGGCTCATGGGAGTGACCTGTGCCTTCTCCCCTCCACCTTAGTTGGATACACCATGAACGATCTCATCTTTGAGTGGCAGGAGCAGGGAGCTGTGCAGGTGGCCGACGGACTGACACTGCCTCAGTTTATCCTAAAGGAAGAGAAGGATTTGAGATACTGCACCAAGCATTACAATACAGGTGAGTGGTAGCTACCATTGTCCTCGGGCCCCAGGGACCTTCCCAGCCTCCACTTGTGATTCTGCTGAGCAGATGAACTGCCCACACTGCTCAGCACTGACACCTACTGGTTGAGAGAGATTTTCTTCCTCTAAGTCCTTAGGGGTGGTAAAAATTAAGTTTCAGCGCCAGGCACCCGTGGCTCACGCCTGTAATGCTCAGTACTCAGGAGGCTGAGATCAGAACATGATGGCAGAGAGGTCCAAGAGAGGGCTGGGAAGGTGGCTTAGTGGTAGAGTGTTTGCCTAGCATGCCTGAAGCCCTGGGTTCGATTCCTCAGTACCACATGCACAGAAAAAGTCACAAGTGGTGCTGTGGCTCAAGTGGTAGAGTGCTAGCCTTGAGCAAAAGAAGCTCAGGGACAGCATAGTGTACGTGTATATAATCTTACCTAAACAGGAGGCGTAAGTAGGAAAAATGGAGATTAGGCATACCCCTAATTAAACAAATGCATAGGAGTCTATTGGAAAAAAAAATCCCTAAATCAGTGGGGTGCCTGTGACTCACACCTGTAATCCTAGCTACTAAAACGACTGAGATCTGAGGATCATGGTTCGAAGCCAGCCTGGCAGGAAAGTCTGTGAGACTTCTCTCCAATTAATCCACAGAAAAAGCTAGAAGTGGCACTGTGGCTCGAGTAATAGAGTGCTGGGGCTGGGAAGGTGGCTCAGTGGTAGAGCGCTTGCCTTGCATGCTCGAGGCCCTGGGTTCGAGTCTTCAGCACCACATAAGCAAAAAGAAAAAAGCCAGAAGTGGCGCTGTGGCTCAAGTGGTAGAGCACTAGCCTTGAGCTGAAGAGCTGAGGGACAGCGCCCAGGCCCAGAGTTCAGGCCCCACGACCGGACCCAAAAAAAAAAAAAAAGTAATAGAGTGCTAGCCTTGAGCAAAAAGAGTCCAAGGACAGTGCCCAGGCCCAGAGTTCAAGCCCCAGGACTGGCAAAATAAATAAATAAATAAATAACAAAACAAACTAAAGCCAGGCATTGGTAGCTCACACCTATAATCCTAGCTACTAAGAGCTGAGGCTTGAGATTCAAAGCCAGTCCATGCCGACAAATCCATGAGACTTTTATTCCCAATTAATGAGCAAAAGGTCAGAAGTGGAGGCGTGGTTCAAGGAGCACAGCACCAGAAATGAGTGGAAAAAGTCAAGTGAGCGTGCAAGGCCCTGAGTTCAAGCACCAAATTAATAATAACAATAATAATAACTAAAGCAAGAAGAACTAAGGGATGAGGCTTAAGGGGTAGAGGACCTGCCTCTACCTTCCAAAGAGAACAATTAGTAACTAGTTGGAGAGGGAACACTAGTCTGGAAGCCAAACCACAAGTGCTGCTTAGCTCAGTGCTCTTCCCCAGGAGACTACACAAATAAGCGATTGGGGAGGGGGAAGGGGGCAGGGCATGGAAATCAACTTCCACATCCCGGGCAACCTTGGACGCAGAGAGAGGATGGGTTCCTGCTGATGCCCCTCAGCAGCCCGGCTCCAGCAACCCAAGAATCCCAGCCCGTTATCATCTAGTGGGCTTTCTTGCAGGATGGCAAATAAACTATAAAGTCACAATGAAGGTGTACAACTTCGATATCTGAGGTTTGGATGAAGGGCTTTGTGTTTGCTAGGCAGGTGCTCTATCACTTGAACCACATCTCTAGCCCAAACTTAATGCTTCTAGGTAGATAGACAGACAGACAGACAGATGCATGCATGCATATATACATCCATACATGATGAATGATAAATGGCCAGCTAGATACATACATATTTCATATAGTTGTAGATATATACATAGATGATAGATGGATATATGAATAGATACAAACATACATACCTACGATCCTGATGGATGATTAATGGACAGATAGATATATACAATCATACATACATATGTAGATATGTAGATGCCTAGATAAATAGATGGCAGATGATAGATGGATGATGGATAAATGATAGCGAGGGTAGATTGATTGGTAGGTAGCTAGATTAGATAATGGTGATAACAGATACTTAAAAGATGATTGATAGGTAGGTAGGTAGATAGATAGATAGATAGGTAGATAGATAGATAGTTTAGATGATATGAGATAATCGCATTTGATCTAACATGTCTCTGTTCCCTCCTGTGTCTTCCCCACTGGAGGGAGTATGAATACTCACATCCCCTTCTCAGCAAATTCCAAGTGTGCAGTGTGATATCCTCAATGCTAACCACATTGCTGTGCATTAGATCTCCAGCACCTACTTATCTTGCAGAACTCCAATCTTTGTGCCTTTGGACCAACACCCTCTCTTCCCACCTAACCCCTGGGCACCTGCTAGTCAACAATCTGCTCCAATGAGGTGCCTACATGTAAATGAAAAATGCCATTCAACTTTTTGCTCCAATGAGGTGCCTACATGTAAATGAGATCTGCCACTCAACTTTCTGCTCCAATGAAGTGCCTACGTGTAAATGAGATCTGCCATTTAACTCTCTGCTCCAATAAGGGGCCTACATGTAAATGAGATCTGCCATTTAAATCTCTGCTCCAATGAGGTGCTTCCATGTAAATGACATTGTGTGCCTGGCATTCATTTTTTCTGTGTCTGGCTCATTTCCCTTAGTACAAAAATGTCCTCCAGCGCTGTCCACATGGTTGCAGATGGCAGGGTTTTCTCTTTTAAGGCTGAATAATATTCCATTTTCCTTATGCACTCATCCACTGAAAACTGCATCATTACCTAGCAATCTCACATCTAGATATCTACTCCAATACAAAAATAATAATAAGCACTTCAAAGAGATATCTGCTCTCCTATATTCAGCCACAGTACGGGAAACAACAGAAATATACTCTGGACTTTCACATTCATTCTCGCCTCTGTTTTTTTTATCTTTTGCATTTAAGTGAGAGCAAAGCTCTCTGCAAGGCCCTGTGGATACAAGGAGAAGAGATTGACCAGGCCCTGATTGGACAAGGCTTATAGTTTGTCTCCACTTTCACTTCTGGGGTGCATAGACAGGAAGGGGACAAGCCCCCCCAACCAAGCCTCACAGTTTAATGTCAAAGACAGAGAGAGCTGGGCACTGGTGGCTCATGCCTATAATCCTAGCTACTCAGGAAGCTGAAATCTGAGGATCACGGTTTGCAGCCAGCCTAGAAATTCTGTGAGACTCTTATCTCCAATTAACTACCAGAAAACCGGAAATCGCACTGTGGCTCAAGTGACAGAGCGCTTGCCTTGAGCTAAAGAGCTCAGGAATAGCACCCAGGCCCAGAATTCAAGCTCCATGACAGACAGAGAGAGAGAGAGAGAGAGAGAGAAAGGAGGGGAGAGGGAGAGGGAGAGAGGGAGGGAGAGGGAGAGAGAATCCACATTGCTTTCGTATTATATTTACTCTTATGACCTCAAGGTTGCACTTGCACACTTCTGAGGTATTTATTTTGTTTGTTTTAGAGGTTGTGTGTGTGTGTGTGTGCACGCGTGCACGCGCTCGTCAATCCTAAGGGCTTGAACTCAGAGTCTAAGCGCTGTCCTAGAGCTTTTGTTCTCAAGGCTCTACCACTTGGGCCAACCTCCACTCTGGCTTTATTTTTTTTTTTAATGGTTTATTGGAGATAAAAAGTCTCACGGGGACTTTCCTTCCCGGGCTGGCCTTGAACCACAATCCTCCGATCTCAGTCTCCTGAGTGGCTAGGATGACAGGAAGGCTTGAGTCCCCCGCACACACACCCCCGCCCCGCCCCCCAGCTCTAGCAGTGTCTCACGATCGTTTCTTGCAGGTAAATTCACCTGCATCGAGGCTCGATTCCACCTGGAGCGGCAGATGGGGTACTACCTGATCCAGATGTACATCCCCAGTCTGCTCATCGTCATCCTCTCATGGATTTCTTTCTGGATCAACATGGATGCAGCACCCGCCCGCGTGGGCCTGGGCATCACCACCGTGCTCACCATGACCACACAGAGCTCAGGTTCCCGGGCATCCCTGCCCAAGGTAGGCGCTGCAGCCCAGGACACAGGCCCCCTGGTCTTGCTCCTCCTGCTAGAGGAGCTGACACCACGCCTTCATCCACAGTCCTTGCCAGGATCCACATTGCAGGCTCCATCTCCATTCTCCATAGGCCTCCAGGCTCTGCGTTCACCTCCAGTCCCTTCCCACGGCAGATGCACCGCTGCTTCATTAGAAATCAGGCGCTAGTGGCTCACGCCTGTCATCCTAGCTACTCAGGAGGCTGAGGGCCGAGGATCACACTTCAAAGCCAGCCCAGGCAGGAAAGTCCGTGAGAATCTTATCACACATGTAATCATAAGTATTCAGGAGGCTGAGATCTGAGGACGGCGGTTCAAAGCCAAACTGGTTGGAAAAGTCCATGAGACTCTTATCTCTGATTAACCAAGAAAAAGCCAGAAAAAGACTTGTGGCTCAAATGGTAAAGCACTATCCTTGAGCAAAAAAAAAAAAAAAAAAAAAAAAGCTAGTTTATAGTCAATTTCCTAACTTATCTTTGGTTTTTTTTTTCCTGTGGTCCATTAGTTATTTAGAAATGTACTGATAATTCCTTTATTCTTAAGAGGTTTCTGAATCTCTAATACTTCTACTGTTATTTCAGTGGGGTCAAAAAGCATACTTTGTGTGACTGCGGTTACTTTAGATTGATTGGGGTTTGTTTCTTGTCTAACATGTAGTCTATCCTGGAGAATTTTCAGTGTGTACATCAAAAGAATGGATGCTATCCTGTCTTTTAGTGCATTATTCTGTAGATCTTTTTCTTCTTACCCAGGGTGGTGGCACACACCTGTAATCCCAGAACTTGAGAGGTGGTGCCAGAGACTCAGAGTGTGAGGCCAGCCTGAACTACTTTTTCTCTACAAGAAATACAAAAGATTAATTCCCAGTTAGCTTACCATGTTATTGTAATAGTCTTCTATTTTCTTTTTCTTTTTTTTTTTTTTTTGCTTATGGGTGCTGAGGAATCGAACCCAGGGCCTCAAGCATGCAAGGCAAGCACTCTACCACTGAGCCACCTTCCCAGCCCTAGTCTTCTATTTTCTTGGTGAGACCTCATTGCGCTGTTCCCTGTATTAAAGAGAGATAGAGTGGAGTCCCAAATATTATCTTTGAATTAGCTGTTACTCCATTTAATTCATGCGTTGCAGAGCTTTGTTGTTGGGTGAATGGATGTTTACCATTGGTATAATTTCCTGTTGATACACTGACAGTTTTGTTGCTCTAAAATGTTCCTCTTTGTATGTTTTGTCCGTTGCGAGGCTTGAACTCCGGGCCTGGGCGCTGTCCCTCAGCAATTCAGCTCAAGGCGAGCGCTCTACCACTTGAGCCACAGTGCCACTTCCGGTTTTCTGGTGGTTAATTGGAGATAAGAGTCTCACACTCTTTCTTGCCCAGGCTGGCTTTGAGCTGCGATCCTCAGATCTCAACCTCCTAGGTTAGGATTATAGGTGTGAGCCACCGGCACCCAGCTATAACCACCTTTTTATCATCATGACTTTTTTTTGTTTTGTTTTGATTTTTGGGTCTGGTCATGGGGCCCGAACGCTGGGCCGGGGCGCTGTCTTTCAGCTCTTTAGCTCAAGGCTAGCACCATACCACTTGAGCCACAGTGCCACTTCTGGCTTTTTTTCTTTTTGCTTATGTGGTGCTGGGGAATCGAACCCAGGGCCTCATGCATGCAAGGCAAGCACTCTACCACTGAGCCACCTTCCCAGCCCCTCATCATGACTTTTATTCTGATATAGGTCTATTTCCAAGTCTCTTGTTTGGTTATTGTTTGTATTATGTATCTTTTCCCATCTTATTTTTTCCTAATTCTATCTTTGTTGTTTTTTGTTTTGGTTTGTCAGTCATGGGGCTTGAACTCAGGGCCCAGGGACTGTCCCTCAGCTTTTTCATTCAAGGCTAGTGCTCTACCACTTTGAGCCACAGCACCACTTCCGGTTTTCTAGTGGTTAATTGGAGATAAGAGTCTCACACACTCTCCTTCCCGGGCTGGCTTTGAACTACAATCCTCAGATCTCAGCCTCCTGAGTAGCTAAGATTACAGGTGTGAGCACCAGTGCCTGACCTAATTCTATGTTTGAATCTGAAGTATGTATTATAGACAGTGTTTTTTTTTTAATTAACCTGGCAATCTCTTACTTTTTTAAAATGGGCGGGGAGGGTGTGTGTGTAGTGGAGCTTGAACTGTGCATTGTCCCTTAGCTTTTCCACTAAAGGCTGTTGCTCTGCCATTTGAGCCGCACCTCCACTTCTGGCTTTTTGCTGGTTAATTGGTGATAAGAGTTTTGAGGACTTTCCTGCCTGAGTTGGCTTTAAACTACAACCCTCCAATCTCAATCTCATGAGTAGCTAAGATTACAGGCGAGAGCCACCGTTGCCCAACCTGATAAAGACTATTTTAAACAATTCGAGAAGACTTTGCTGTTCTTGCTGAGATCCAGCTGCGCTTCTTGATTAAACATGCACAGAATTGATGTTGGGAATTAGCCAGAGTTCTGGAAAACTAGATTCAGACCATTTTTATGCCAGTATGTTCATTGATTTTATGGGAGACTTTTCAGAAGTCATTTCTCATGCCTTCATTCCCATTCCCTTCCTCCTCCATCTGTGTGTGTGTGTGTGTGTGTGTGTGTGTGTGTGTGTGTACACTGGGCTTGTCAAACTCAGCGCCTAGGCACTGTTCCTGAACTCTTTTGCTCAAGGCTAGCACTCTACCACTTTGAGCCACAGCACCACTTCCGGTTTTCTGGTGGTTCATTGGCAGTAAGAATGTCACAGACTACTCCTTCCTGGGCTGGCTTGGAGCCATGATCCTCTGATCTCAGCCTCCTGAGTAGCTAGGATGACAGGTGTGAGCCACGGAAGCCTGGCTCATTACTGCAATTTCACACAGAGATTTCTTCTTCTTGTAGATCTCAGTCACCTTCCATATCTGATTCTTTTTCTTTCCTTATCAAATCAACAACATCCCACCCCAACCTCTTTTTATTTTCCACTTGAAGGAAGCACTTTGTGCCTTCTCTTGGCCAATATCACGACCCTCCTATTTGGGATGAGGGCCATTGTGAGGTATGATGAGGGTAACTTGGACAACATGGCAGCTGTGTCCACATTGGGCCTGATCATCCTCGAGTAGATAGTGTGTACCACATGGATACTCCACACAAAGCTGAGATGCATATTCTGGATAGGATAGAACAGGGCAACATTGTCCGCATCATCAATCCACCTTTTTAGCGGAGAGGGCACAATGGTTAGAACTGGTGGATGGTTTCTTTCTAGAATCTTCCATGGGCTCTTTGAGGACTGGAACTGGGGAAAGCCAAGGTGCCTCCTCTGTGTGTGTGTGTGGGAGCCGGGGGAGAAGACCAGGTCACTGTGTCCTCAGCCACACTGCGTTTGCCTGCCACTTCCCTTCAGGTCTCCTACGTGAAGGCCATTGACATCTGGATGGCGGTGTGTCTGCTCTTCGTGTTCTCCGCCCTCCTGGAATATGCCGCTGTCAACTTTGTGTCTCGACAACACAAAGAGTTGCTCCGGTTCAGGAGGAAGAGGCGACATCACAAGGTAAGCCTGAGGGTCAGCGCCTAGGAGGGGGAAAGCGAGAGGCAGGCTGGGTAGGGATGAATCCCCAGGGACATCTCCATGTCCCCCCCCCACCCATCAGCCATGACCTAGCTGGGTCCTGGGCCATGACTCTTCTAACTATGGCAGCAATGATCATGGACCCCCAACAGGCAGGGTAGATAGAGGGCTCGCTGCTGGCTGAAGTGAATAACCAGCCACTCCCTGAAGCTAGAAGGTAGTCCCTTTGCTGCTACAAAGCTAACTTACTTCCCTGAACCTGGTTGCAGAAGGAAAATGGCCCCACGAAAGGTGGGCTGGTAAAAAAAAGATCTCCTGCATGAGCCAAGCAATTGTGGTGACCCTAGCTAATCGGGAGGCTGAGATAGGAGAATCACAGTTGGAACTTTCTATCTCCAATGAACTACCAAAAGAAGCCAGAAGCGGATCTGTGGTTCAAGGGGTAGAGTGCTAGCCTTGAGATGAAAAGCTCAGGGACAGTACCCAGGCCCTGAGTTCAAGCTCCAGGACTAACGCATGCGTGCATGTGCACACACACACACACACACACACACACACACACACACACACGATCCAATGTCTAAGCTGGGTGCTGTTGGCTCACATCTATAATCCTAGCTACTCAAACTTAAAGCCAACCTAGCCAGCTAAATTTGAGAGAGACTCTTATCTCTCATTACCCAGCAAAAAGCCAAACGTGGGGAATATGGCTCAAGTGGTAGAGCACCAGCTTGAGTAAAAAAAAAAGCTAAGGGAGAGAGCATAAGACCCTGAGTTCAAGCCCCAGTACAGATACAAAAATAAAATTCACTATCTGTGGTTGGGGATGGAACACAGTAGAACACTTACTGGCCATGTACAAGGCCCTGGATTTGATACCTAGCACAGGAAGGAAGGAAGGAAGGAAGGAAGGAAGGAAGGGGGAAGGGAAGGGAGGAAAAGAGGGAAGGAGGGAAGGGAGGGAGGTAGAATGTCCAAGCTTCATACTTTTCATTCCTGACTTCTGAGAAGGGGAGGAATCAAGATGGACTGGGAATGTGGCTTAGTGGTAGAGTGCTTGCCTGGCAGGTACAAAGCCCTGGGTTCGATTCCTCAGAATCAAACAGAAAAAGCCAGAAGTGGAGCTGTGGCTGTAGTGGTAGAGTGCTAGCCTTGAGCAAAAAGAAGCTCAAGAACAGTGCCCAGGCTCTGAGTTCAAGCCCCAGGATGGCCAAAAGAAAAAGTAAAAAGATGCATAGAGTAGACTCTGCCTTCCCTTCCCCACCCCACCTCAAAACATCAACAATCTGTGGAAATCACCTGCGTCTGCTAATTTACTCCCGATCCACATCTGCTTTCCCAGGAGGTCTTTCGCCAGCCTTGTCTCCCCCTTCCTCTACCCTGGAGCTCTGTTCTTTAGGTGTTCACACACCTAGGACCTTAGACATTGGCTTCTCCCATCTTGCATTGCTACTTCATTGTTCAGAATGAACTGTTCACACTTCCTGGGTCTGGTGTCTTCCACTGACACCCTAGTGAAACTCTTAAGTCTTTTCCTGAAATTTCCACATAAGGATACTAGGTTGGACTCTTCAATAACCCAGCCAAGGAGGTTTTCTTCCTTCTCTAAGTCACATTCTAGACTTTTCCCCCCCTTTTTTGCTGGTCCAAGGACTTGAACTCAGGACCTGGGTGCTATCCCTGAGCTTTTTTCTTTTTTCTTTTCTCTCCAAGGCTAGCGCTCTACCACTTGAGTTACAGCTCCACTTCTGGCTCTTTTTTCCTTTTCTTTTTCTTTTTGGTAGTTAACTGGAGAGAAGAGTCCACAAGGACTTTCCTGCCCAGGCTGGCTTCAAACCATGATTCTTAGATCTCAACCTCCTGAGTAGTAGCTAAGATTATTACAGGCATAAGTCAATGGCCTCCGGTAGAAATGCTTTTTATAATGTAACTAATGTGCTTTGGGTGCTGACAAAGATCATATATTATTTTTTCTTTTTACCCCACCACGAGGATTTGAACTCAGGATCTTCTAGTATTTGTTAAGCAAGCAAAGCAATGCAGAGCAAGTAACCAGGATCCCTAGGGGGAAAGAGACTTGGCACAAAGGTCTCCGCGTTCTTTCCAATCTTCAGTCCATAATTTTTTCACCAGCAACTTTTCTGGGTTTCTGGTACACCCCCCCCCCCCTGCCCCATATCCTCCTATCCCCCCCCACCCCACCCTCACCCCCGTGTAATTTCCACTGCTCCATCTCCAGCCCACACTAGAAGCAGATGGGCAGATGTGTCCTGCCACCTGCTGGTGGTGACAAGAACAACAGGCATTTCCTGGGTCCTTTCTAGGAAATTTCCTTCTTTCTGCTAAAGTGTGAGACCTTCAGCCTCAACCTCCTCTCATCCCACCGTAGCATTTACCATAGGAGGAAGGCAGAACACAAATTTTGTTTAAATGCCTTAGAAATAAGATCTAGCCGGGTGCTGGTGGCTCATGTCTGTAAATCCTAGCTATTCAGGAGGCTGAGATCTGAGGATCTCTGTTCAAAGCCAGCCCAGGCCGAACAGTCTGTGAGACTCTTATCTGTAGTTAACCACTCAAAAACCGGAAGTGGAGCTGTGGCCCAAAAGTGGTAGAGTGCTAGTCTTGAGCAAAAGAGCTCAGAGACAGAACCCAGGCCCTGAGTTCAAGCCCCATGAGTGACAAAAAGGGAAAAGAGAAAAAGAAGTAAGAGTTAAACCCTTGCTGGGCCCTGGTTCCAGGCGCGGTAGTTTATTCCCCGCTATACCGCTCTCCATGGTCCTGATATTAACACTCCACTATTACCACATAATCCCAGCCAAATATTTTTTGATCCCGTTTGTCACCTGCTTTGCGCACCCCATTCCCATTCTGTACTTCTGCCATGACTGAGCTGGGCCAAATTCATTCATTTGCCAAAAAGTTTATTGGGCATTTACTCTATGTTTCAAATGTTCCTGTATCTGAAACACAATTCCATTAATTAATTGATTGATTGATTAATTGGTTGAGATTTTTGCCAATACTGGGGCTTGAATTCAAAGCTTCACACACACTCAGCCTTTTTGCTCAAGGCTGGTACCTTCTACTCAAACCACACACCTTCACTGCTGGCTATTTGCTGGTTTAACTAAAGATAAGAGTTTCTCAGATTTGTCTGCTCAGGGTTGGCTTTGAACCTTGAGCCTCTCAGCCTCCTGAGTAGCTAGGATTCCAGGTGTGAGCTACCCACACCTGGCTAAAACTCTAGTCAAACAAACCAAAATAAAGTTTAAAAATAAAAGGAAGCTGGCACTGGTGAAGATAACAATGTACATTGATTTACTCTATAAAAGGTTACTGAGTTTGGGGTCTGTATATTAGGCTCTATGTCCAAAAGTCTGTGAGACTCTAATCTCTAATTAATCTCACAATGCCAAAAGTGGAGCTGTAGCTCAAGTAGTAGGGCACTAGCCTTGAGCAAAAAGAGCCCAGGGACAGCACCCAGACTTCAAGCCCCGATATCTGGGCTTGATGTGGGGGGAGGGGGGAGGTTGCCAGTCTTGGGGCTTGAACTCAGGGCCCGGGACCTGCCCTTAAGCTTTAATGCTCAAGGCAAGTGTTCTACCATTAGAGCCAGAGCTCAACTTCCAGCTTTTTGCTTGGTTAACTGGAGATAAGAATCCCACAGACTTTCCTCTCTGGGCTGACTTCAAACCTTGATCCTCAGATCTCAGCTTCCTGAGTAGCTAGGATTACAGATGGGCACCATGGACAGGACTTTACTGGATACTGTGGATACTGAATTTCTTACTCATGGTTGGTGCCATCTTAAGCAGAAAGAAGCAAAAGAGAGAATTCCTATCAGAAAAAAAAAACTCTATGTCTTGGGCCATGAGAGCAAATACAATTTCCACAGAGCCACAGGTTGACTCTGCAGCCGATCTGAAATCAAACTACAGGGCCTGGCGTGGGGGAGGGGACACCACTGGAAAGGTAAGTTGGGATCAAATGATGAAAGGCTTTGAATGAGATGATGATGAAAAACATCCAGAGGTTTACCAGCGGTGACATCTTCCGTGGACAATGGGAACACCAGGCAGGAAAGAGCTGTGGCTACAGAAGAAAGCCAGGGCTCTTGCTGCCTCCTGGGCCATATCAGGGAGGGAAGAGGGCAAAGAAGCAACAGAAGCAAAGCAGGGGACCTCTCCCCAACTGTCCCCTGAATTCCTAACCCCAATCCAGGACAGCTCTGAGGCAAAACAAAACAAAATCTCAGCAATGAAAACCTCCCAGGGTCAAACAACCTTGAGAGGTACTGGAGTGGGAACTGGGGGGGAGAGAGAGAGAGGGAATCTGATTCTACACTTTGAGGAAAATGTGGAAAAACAGTAACAGAACAGTTTTAAAAAAAAAAAACCTTCAAGAATCACAGAAGACAGTGCCTTGCCAAAGATCTCTAGCCTGCTAATGACGAGCACAGAGACCTGGCACGGATCTCTGGAATCTGAGCACACCAGCCCCTCGACTCCAATTCCTATCCCCTGGTTTGCATCTGTTTTGGCAAGCAAGTGGCACCCCTCTAAAAGGCAGAACACCCCAGTCCGCCAGAAAAGCCCTGAGCAGTCAGAACCACTGCAACCCAAGAGGCCAGGAGGGCCGGGTGGGCGTGGCCTGGCTCCTCATGTGGGTGTGGCCTGAATAGCCTCCCGGGATGGGCGTGGCCTGGTCTTTTTCCCAGGCTGGTGTGGGATGCCTGGATGGGCGTGGCCTGGCCCCTCATGTGGGTGTGGCTGGAATAGCCTCCCCGGGGTGGGCGTGGCCTGGTCTTTTTCCCAGGCTGGTGTGGGATGCCTGGATGGGCGTGGTCTGGCTTTCCTAAGTGGGCGTGGTCTGGCGCTTTTTCTCTCCCCGCCCCTCCGTGGGTGTGGCCTGCCCCCAGTTGGGCCTGGTCTGGTTTTTCTCCCTGGGCTGCTCTGGTAGGCGTGGTCTGGCTGTCCGGTGGGCGTGGCCTGGCTCCCCAGGGGGCGTGCCTTACAGAGAGGGTGCCCAGCCCCTGTCTTATTTTAAGTAGAGCCCCATGTTGAATCTGTTCCAGGAAGATGAGGCTGGAGAGGGCCGCTTCAATTTCTCGGCCTACGGCATGGGCCCGGCCTGTCTGCAGGCCAAGGACGGCATCTCCGTCAAGGGTGCCAACAACAATAACACCACCAACCCCCCTCCCGCCCCATCGAAGTCCCCGGAGGAGATGCGAAAACTCTTCATCCAGAGGGCCAAGAAGATCGACAAGATATCCCGCATCGGCTTCCCCATGGCCTTCCTCATCTTCAACATGTTCTACTGGATTATCTACAAGATCGTCCGTCGAGAGGATGTCCACAACCAGTGAAGGAAGGGGTTTGGGGTGCGTAGGGGGGAGGCCGGGAGAGGAGTCTGGAGCAGAGACCGGGGAGGAGAGGGGGCCGGGGGGTATTGCACACATCACTCTGGCTCTCTGCGGACTGTGCAAAGGCAAAAGGCCCTGGTGCATGAATATTAGAATGCTGCACTATCTATTTAACCCCAGGTGGCATTTGTCTAGCCTAGGAACTGAAGGCCACAGGAAAGGGGGAGGGTGGGGAAAGGGGGAGGGGGAGAGGGGGAGGAGTTGGAGGAGGGGGGCGTAAAGTGAACAGCTTTTAAAACTGGAAGTTCATGAGCAGCGTGCAGATCTCTTCGTCTGCCTTCCCCTCTCCCCCCCAACCCCCCCCACCACCACCCAGAGCAGGAAAGAATCAATGTAATATATGATATCTATTTTCATGCTTTACATTAATTGCAACGACAACAACAAAATTACGAGAACAACTAAGGCGTTTCTTAACCTATCAGCCTAGGAACTGCTTAAATTTTTAAAGTCACAGAAGTCATGGACTATCTTACTTTCTTCTTCTTTCTCCTCTGGGTCACAAATAAGCTTTGCTCTGGTGTGTGTCTCCCCTCACTCTGCCCCCCTCCAAATGCCATAGCTATCTTCAAAAATAGCCCTCGAATGGACACATGCCAAAAGCCATTGGGCCTCAGCTTCAAGAGGGCTGGAGGGGGCGTGGCTAATGGGTGAGTTAGGGGAGGGGCCAGGTGGAGAGCACAGAAAACAAGGATTCAAAAGATAGGGGTTGGAGGTGGGGGAGGATTGAAAAGGCCTAAAGGGTTGAGCATCCAATGGTCCACTCGACCCCCACGTTCCCTCAGGCTGACTGTTCCCCTGTGAACCTTCTTGCTTCTGTGCCTCCACATGTACCCTATTATTGACCACCCCACCCATGATCCAGAAATGGCTGCCATGATTTTCTCAGTATCTTGCCAATATGCAATCTTTTCTATGGTTAAAAAAAAAGTAATAATCTCAAGAAATAATATGCACATAGATGGAGTGTAAACAGATAGGCTTTCCTTTTTCAAATGTTTTATTTTGGGGGGGGAAGAGTCTCTTTGGAATTTTAAGTGGGTACATATTGGGGAAAGTAGGGAGTTTGGGGGGGGAAGATGAAATCGCTCTGTTTTACCCAGTGGTTTGGCAATGGTTAGGAGGCGAAAAAGAAGATTCCAGGCTACAATGAATGAGCTATCTTATGGGTGGGGAAAAGATGATAATATTTACAAAGTGAGTTCATTCTACTTGGACATGTCATTACCATAGATAAGGTGGGAAGTTGGGGGGGGCTAACGCCTCCATTATATTTTTATAAGTATTATTTTTTAAGGTACTTCTGTTTAGCTTTAACATGTGGGACAATGAAGACAAACATTTCTCTTTGCTCTAACTCTTTGCTCTTAAAAAATGCTGCTGTCATTCCCCCCAAGAGAATTAGGACAGGGTCTGAGAAAGGAACTGAGTTTGGGGGTGCAGAGGGTGCTTCTGGCGGATGTGATGTTTACAGATAGAAGTCTTGCAGGTTGGCAATGCAGGCCTCTACCTGCTCTTTTAAGTCTGAAATGTTGGCGCCATGTCTACATCCTTCTCCTCCATTGGAATCCTAGCCAGCAATGCTGGGACTGGGTTTCTATCTTTGCACTTTATTCTCCTGGCTGGAGGTAGAAAGGAAGGAACTAACTTGACAATCAAATGTTGTTCTGTGGCTTGTGATTTCATCAGGGGTCTTTGGGGGGAGATCCCCAACTCAGGGCAGGATGGGGGGGACAGTGATTAAGAGAGGAGATCTGGGAAGCTCAGCATTGCATTCCTTTACACCCCCCTTTTCCTAGGGAATTCTCTCCCATTTGCTAATGGCACAATGGCTTCACGGCCCCTGATGGCCTAAGGCTAAAAAGAGATTTCCAGGGATTCACATCAAGAAAATGAACTGTACATCCAAAAAGAAACAGAAATTTTTTAAAAAAAAAAGGATTGGACCCTGAAGCTTGTGTAATACAGATGTCCTGATGTAGGAAGTCCCTTCATCTGGCTTGTTGGAGACCAAAACATGGAGCCTGTCTTCTGTGTGAGTGATGTGGACCTGAGTCTGGGATCCTAAAGAACGGAGCCCAGTGGATGTGAAATTGGCCTCTGAGCTGTGTGAATCTTTGGAGAGACCCATAGTCCTCTTTTGCTAGCACTTTATTCTCTTCCTTTAGGTCAAAGTTATTTTTTTTAAGAATGAAAAAAAAATCTGATGAAGCCCTGCTCCCTTCTATTTTGCTCATTACCAAATGAAACTCAGAATGTCTAAATTCTGAGTGAAAGCTGGGCATCTGGGTCCCTCACATCTGTAAATCCTTGCTACCCAGGAAACTGAGATCAGGGGACCATAGTTTGAAGTCAGCCTGGGGGAAGAATAATCTAGGAGAGTCTCATCTCCAATGAGCCACCAAAAATAAATAAATAAATAAAGAGAACTAGAACTGGAGGTGTGACTCAAATGGTAGAGAACCAGCCTTAAGCAGGATACTAAGTTCAAGTCCCAGTACTGGCATGAAATAACAAGGTCTAGGTAAATTGGACAAGGAAGGTCCCAAGCCTTTATAAAGATTGGAGACAATTCCAGTTGGGCAAAGACAATTAACTCTTTCTCCACCACGATCATGTGCAGATCCCAAACAAACCTGCTCCTAGACTGCCTCTAGAATCTTCCGACATTGAGGGATCATAAGGGATTGCCTTATGATTTCTTGCCCAAGGTGAGTTGACTTCAGTTGACTCCCCTAATGAAGCCCTGGGCTTCTGTTAATCTGTGAGCCATTTGGAAGTTTCTAAAACTGGATGTCAGTACCCAGCAAGCAATTGGGCTCATCTCTTTTTGAGTCACAGAAGAGCAATATCACTGAAATCTTCCCACAGGCTACTTCAAACTTAGTATCGCTTATGAAAAAAAAAAATCAGTGTGGATAGAGGACTTGTAGATCATGAGGTAAACATGAACTTAATCCTGTCATTCATAAGTCAGGTAGTGTTGGCTATGTGACTAAGTTTTAGTTTCTCTGAATTTGTAATTGGGAGAGTGATTTAGGAGCTAAACTCCTTCCTCCATCTAAGTTTGTTACACATATGTGCTTAGACGGGTCAAGAAGAAATCGACCCAACTACAAATTTACTATCACCCCAATTTCTCATGTGGTAGTGTGGATTTGTTCACGCAAGTAGGTGGAACTGCACAATTCTTGATGATTGTCTCCTTTGAAAACTTTGCAAATTTTTTCTTCTTTTTTTTATTATTATATATCACATTCCCAAAGGTGAACTTCGGTGGGCAAGATCACCAATCAATCATGATAAAGTTAAATATATGTGTGTATTATATGCATATATGTCTATAGATGAAATCAGGAATCAGGAATAGAAACAGGCTCAGACTATATCATCCATGTATAATGTAGAAAGGTTTTTGCCATAAATTACATAAGTTTCATCCTTAGAGAAAATCAAGCCAAATAATTTAGATCAAAAAATTTGGGAGTGGGGTAGAGGCATGGCTCAAGTGGTATGGCACCAGCCAATGAGCAGAAGGCATCAGATAGTGAATTCAAGTCTGACAGACCAAAATAAAAGTGGGGGGAGGGGTTCCAAACGATCAGGATATTTTTTTTAATTTAATTTTATTTTATTTGTGAACATACTGTACAGAGGGGTTACAATTGCATGGGCAGGATAATGCGTACATTTCTTACCAAGCACTGCAGCCTCCTCCTTTGTTAACCTTCCCATCCCTTCCCAGCCTCCCCCCTCCCCCCACGATCAGGATATTTTAATTTCTTTTTTCAAGCATAAATGATATCATGCTTTGGGATTATAGACAATGGCTGAAAACTGATTTGGGTGCAATAACCAGTTTGCTGCTTTCCAAATCTTTCACCAAATATAGACTTGGATTTACTTATAATGGTAGACTCGGTGCGTGGTATAGAGATGCTGGTGATTTCCCTTATCTCCAAAATTCAGTTCATCTCAGGAGCCAGAGAGTAGAACCACCGTCTCCTCCACTTCAATGTAGCTTTCGGTGTAGCTCATCACCCGCTGAAATAAATGGCCCAGTTCTGCCACCTGCTGGCCATCTCCAATATCCAAGTATCCATTCTTGACTTCAAGACTAAGAATGAACAAGGACAGGGATAAAGAGAAAGAAAAATGTATCGCGTGTGGATGTGCATTTAAAAAAAAATCTTAGATTGAACTAGATTTTTTTGTGTCCATCTAGAAAGATGAGGGAGGGTTAATTCGCCCCGATGATTTCTTCTCCTAAACTGCCAATAAATAGGCTATGAGTCCCTCTCAGAAGCTCACTGGTTTTGTTGTTTTTTTTTTTTTCCCAGAAACTAGTTTTATTTCCTATTTGGAAGGGAAATAAACCATTCATTTATTTAAAATAAATTCATCTTTAGGAGCATTGTGAGAGACAGTATTGCCTGAAATTCCGTATTAGATTGCAGCCAAGCTGGTAGCACACTGGTAATTGTCCATTGTGAACATTAGATTCCTTACACAATTGTAATACCGCTAATGAAGAGGGTTATCCTTGCGCCTGCAGCGCTGAGATTGGCAATCAGGCTGCTCAAGCCAGCAACAATAGACTCCACTTGGAAGCTGTTAGATTAATTCAGCCAACATCTTCACATTCTGCTTACCCTTCATCCCAGCTGATGAGGGAAATGACCCTCTATCCCTCGCCACAACGGCATTTCTCTAATCAGGAAATAATATGCTTTTTTAAAAAAATGTGGGGACTGGGAAGGTGGCTCCGTGGTAGAGTGCTTGCCTTGCATGCATGAAGCCCTGGGTTCGATTCCTCAGCACCACATAAGCAAAAAAAAGCCAAAAGTGGTGATGTGGCCCAAGTGGTGGGGCACTTGCCTTGAGCTGAAGAGCCTGAGGGACAGCGCCCAGAGCCAGAGTTCAAGCCCCATGACCGACCAAAAAATAAAATAAAATGTGGTTTCGTTTCCTTCTCTCAGCCCCCTTCTCCTAGAAACCAAGTCCAGAAATTCAAGTCAAGAACTTTATATTTAAGCCTGGCCCTGGTGGCTCACATCTGACAACCTAGCTACTCAGGAGGCTGAGATCTGAG